CACCTAGCCCAGAGAGGCTAGGGCCCCGATCCTACGTATTTTGAAATATAGAGATCCAACTTCTCGCGCGCCCCTCCCTTCCCGACGCTTACGAATTTAAGGACCCAGGTTTCCAATTGGTTTGACGCCGGATCGCAATTCTTTATCCTTGAAGTTAACGCTTAGGGTTTGTTCCCCAACAGATGGAATTTACGTGGCGTTGTTTTCCTGTGGCATTTGCTCCCAGGAAAGGAGGCAGAGTCCGGCGGTAGCCTCTTCCCCCCCCCCAAGCCCCCGCGCAATAATGAGAGAATTCAGCAGACAGAGCGGTGCGTACCAGGATTTGCCGGCGATTGAGGGGTTTTTTCTTGTTTACAAGGGAACCTTTGAGCGTGTTGCGCCTTGGAACCAAGCAGCATCCGAACGGGAGGTAAAGGAACGGGGGGGGGGGGCGTGCGCGTTAATTTCCGAGGATGTTAAGAAAATCTGAAAAGAGGGAGACGTTAGCCCGGTCAGTTTCCGTGCGAGATGAACGCCAGTCCGCCTCGCCGAGAGTACCGCCCGTTACTGGCGGTCTTCTTCCATCTAGTGAGGTGGATCTGGGCCATTCGGAAAAGATCGGCTGGAAAGGGGATAGGGAGGCGCCTCCTGCCGGGAAGGAAGGAAGGAAAGCTTAGGAAGCAGGTGCCTTGAAAAGCAACTTGTACGTAAAATAGACGATTCGCCCTCCGAAACCAAGACCTACTAAGTGGCAATGACCTCAGTGGGGCCCTTATACGTATAGACACGCAATGTATATACACCTCACCAGATAAAAGCAGCTTTGTGTGTATAAAGGCAGAAATAACAGGCCGATTTCCTCAGACACAGAGGAAGTTTTGGAGAGCGGTAATTCATGAGCGTTATGGACGCAGCCGGTGTACTGCAGGGAATAGAGGACTGGGACTCAAGGGTTCAGCCCCCCCCCCTTGGGTCATGGAAAGAGGGGTGGCACTGGTAAAGCTTCCCGCTAAATATCTCAGGTACCTCGTAAACCCAGCTAGGGTGGCCCTCATTGGGGAAGGATTTGACCGCGCATCACAGGCACCTACAGACCTAGGCAGATCCGGTGGCTGAATCCTGTCTCGGTCAGCCTACAGCCCTTTTGCAAGCCGCCTTGGGCTCCTGTATTAGGAGGAAGACGGGGCATAAAATCAATTAATAATGCTTATAATTTCAATGCAGACTGCCCTTTTTTAGTCTCTGTTTCTGGAATCGGTCACAGAGATATTCTTGGGAACAAATGTGGTTTCTCCAAAGTCCAGCGGCGATGACAGCTGTGAGTAACCTGGTTCGGAAGTCAGAGCCCTTGGGCGAGGGGGCTTTTCCTAGGCGACCGGTCACGGAGGTGTTTAAAATTAGTTGAGCTTCTAAGTAAAAGGGATTGAGTAAACTGGTGTCACCGGGGATCGGGGTCAAGATGTCCTAGCCAGGGCGGCAAGACCCTTTTAGCCTCTGTGTGTACCTCTATGCTTGACACACAACCCCGCCCGGGGGGGGGCAATCCCCTCGTCGTTATGGACTCGGAGGTCGCGGGGCTACGGAGCCGGCTCCTTGGAAGTCCCACTTAACTCAGTAGGGCTGACTTCCGAGTAAACAGAGGCCTCGGATTGCAGCTGTAAATCGAATTCCCTCGCGTAATCCTCGCCAGCTTTCCGGATCAGCGTCCAAATCAGAAACAAGGGCTTGAGGCTCCCTTAATATTGAATTCTTTTTGCGCCCGGAGGGGGGGGGATGAGAAGCGTGTGTCTGACTGATTCGGAGGGATAAGGACGGTTTTTCCCCCCTCTAGACGCGTCGGGTGAGTTTTGTCTGGGGGGCTCAGACGGACCGTGGCGTTGCATATCCGGGAGGGAAAACGGGAGACGACCGTTTCCACCGGAGGTCCATATTTGTGCCAGGGGTGCGTGTGTGTATGTGTGTGTATTTGGGAGGGGGGTGTCTGTGTGTTGGAACAGAGAAAGATCTAATTTGAGCGGAAAGGCCATCAATAAATCCATACTTGCAGCCGAAGTGTGTGTGTGTGTGTGTGTGTGTGTGTGTGTGTGTGTAGTAGTAGTAGTAGTAGTAGTAGTAGTAGTAGTAGTAGTAGTAGTAGTAGTAGTAGTAGTAGTAGTAGGAGGAGGAGGAGGAGGAGGAGGAGCTAATTATGGCCAAAATCCGTGTGGGTGTGCTCGTAGACGAGAGAAGCAGAGAGCTGGGAAGGAGAAATGCAATTTAAGCGGAAAATCCATCAATAACTGGATGGCCAAGCGGAGAACGAGAGGATGCGCTCGTCCCAGGGCGGATCTTGGCGAGCCAACTCCCTTGCGGGGCTCCTTGTGAGGCAGAGTCTCCCCGATGCCGACTTCCTGGGGTCTGGGAATGAAAAGACATCCCTGCGGGGTGCGTGTAAACGCCCCTCGGGGCATTCATTGGAGGGCAGGAGGCGGGCCTGCCCCACGGCGCCAGCCTACGCCTGGATTTACTCCAAGGAAAGCCCCGTTGTGCTCCATTCGGCTGGCTCCCAGGTTTACATCCTGGGCCTATTACGTAAAAGCTCATGCTGTCACAGGCACCCTTTTCCCTTCCGGATCAAGAACCCTGGAGACGAGTGACTCACGTGTATTTTCCGTGTGCACATTTTCTCCGCCTTGTATGATGACACCTGTGTAGATAGATAGGAGGTCGCATAGTGTGTGTGTTTGTGTGGGTGGGGTGCTTATAAACTGGCACAAGCCCCTTTTCCAGTGGCCTACGCCGTGTATGTGTTTGTCCACCAACCTCAGCGCGCATTCGCGTGTCTGGAGTGTACACTAGGGGGCAGTGTAGCGCTTAGAGTGACCGACTTTGACTGGGAGACGTGGGTTCAAATCCCTCCCCTGCTCACCGGGTGATGACATCTCTTAGCTGAACCTGGTGTGCTGCGTTCGCAGCAGCTGATCAGAGCTGTTAATGACAGGAGGTCTGGGAAGTCACTCATTAGTGGGGTGGCCAACTTTCCATAAATCATAGGTGGCTTGGTGGCCCATAAGGAGAACTACCACCTACTTTGCAGGGTTTTGTGATGATGGGGGCCGGGGGATTCCTAAGTAGGGCACTGCTCTGGAGGAAGGGTGCGATATAACAAGAAACAATCGAAATGATAACAGCAAATGTCTTCACTCTCTGAGAGGCTCACTAGGAACCCCCTAACTTATCTTCCACGCTGGTGGTTTCCCAGTTTCCCCCCAAATTATTGACTGTAAAATTCTCTAGCCCATGGCGGTGTATTCGCAAACCTTGTACTAAGAAATGTAGTACAAAATTCTCCGGCATCCATTGATGTTTTTGAGGTTTAAATCCATATGACGAGTGACATCTTGAGAGATGCCAAGGAATTAGACGCTCAAACATTGTACACCTTTCCAGGGGCTTTCTCATATTGTTAACTCCTAGTCCACAGAGGTTACAGATTGAAGTGGAGGGGGAGAGAGAAAGCTATTCCACAAGGAACAATTCCCTGCATGCAGAAATCTAGCAGCTCAGGACAGGAGCGGGGCTAGATTTTTTTCTGGCTGATGGGTAATAACCGCTTGCCAGAAGTGTGGTGCGTTGTATATCTGTGTGTTGGGTATTGGGGGGGGGACATTAAAAGCCAAATTCTGGCACCATGCCATCCGCTCTACCAGCGAGATTCTTCTGATGCACGAGTAGAGAAGCAATGTTTACCGAGGGAGCTCAACACTCTCTTTCTGCTTCTTTATCTGAAATGTGAAACGTGTGAATTGTAAATAATATATAACATGCGTTGAAGGGGCCGGATAACTAAACAGCGCTGCGTTCAAGATGCAGTCAGTTGCGAAATAAATGAGTGAATGGATGAATATAAGTATGTAAATAAATGACTAAGAGGACTTCAGATTGTTTGGTTATTACTTGTGGGCTAAGTGATGCAAGTTAGCACCGTAATAATAAATTCATACGTCTAGTGCAGCAGTCTAGTACACGCTTTCTTGAAAGTAATTCCCAGTGAACTCAACCGGACTTCACTTTCTCCCGAGCAGAAATAGGCAGGATTATGCCCTAAAATAATTTTCCACCTCTTTCTGATTTCCTGTGTCTGCGTCTCGGATTGTATTTTGCATTTCGAATGGTAGTGGTTGCACTCTGGAATCAGCGTGCATACACGAGTTTGCGGTGTGTGGCGTGGGAACCCTGTTCCACGCGTGCGTTCAATTCCACATGACGTTCAAATCCACTCCCCTTCTGTCTCAGCCCCACAACCTCGCCAGTCACTGCCGCTCCCCGGCTTCTCTGTCCTAAACGCCTGCGTGGGTCTTTCAAACCCAGATCCGTGCACGCGCGTGTGTATCCGCCAAGAGATACGTGTGCGCGGCCAGTGAGAAGGCGAGCATATCTGAGCCTCTTTCCGTGCGCTTGGATTAATGCCGAGGCTGGGTCGGGGGAGGATCTGCTCGCTGTGGGCAGCTGGGGCGCAAAATCCGCGGTGCCCACGCACGGATGCTCCGGAGTTTGGGACTGAGAGGCGCCTGGTATTTTCTCCGTCTCTCTCCCTTTCCTCTCCCCGCCTGCCGTCCAGACCACTAGGCAGGGAAACCCTCCTTGAGAAGGAGCCGGGGTTGCTCCGTGTCGCCGGCTCGCTTGCGATCTATGGCAGTCCTCCTGTAGCTTTCAAGGTAGGCGAGAGATTTGAGGAGTGGTTTGAACCGTGCCACCCCTGCCAGTGGGGCTCCGTCGCCCCGCGGGGATTCGAACCAGGACTCCTCGCCCTTCCCTCCATCCCCTCGATCGCGCCGGCGGCCGAGGCTGCCCGACCGCCCCCCCCCCCCGCCCCCCCTCCCCGGCGCCAAAGCTCTCCAAAAGAGGCCACCCCGCTGCCCGCCGGGCCTGCCTTTCCCCGAGGCCCCCCGGCGGCCCCGATCCGGCCCTCCCGCTCTCCCCGCCGTCTCCCGCTCGGCCTTTCTTTCACCTCGGCCCCTCTTTCTCCTTCTCGGCGGCAGGTTTGGTTCCAGAACCGGCGCTCCAAGGAAAGGCGCATGAAGCAGCTGAGCGCGCTCGGGGCCCGCCGGCACGCCTTCTTCCGCAGCCCCCGCCGCATGAGGCCGCTGGTGGATCGTCTGGAGCCCGGGGAGCTGATCCCCAACGGGCCCTTCTCCTTCTACGGAGGTGGGTAAGCGGCGGCGGCGCCCGGGAAGGGGCGGAGGAGGGTCGGGGCGCGGGGCGGCCGCCTTCCTCTCCAGACCTCGGAGACGCGCCGCCCGGCCTTGCGGAGCCCAAGAGCTTGGCTTGTAGCGGAGGCCTACGCACGCCCCTAGCTGCCGTCTTATACCCGGCTGCTGGGATGGGAGCAAAACGCAGGTGAGTTTGCTTTCACAAGTGGCCCCTGCTCGGGCTAGGCAGATAGAGGGACCCGTGAAGGCCGGCGCACCACTGGCTCGTTTGAAACACCAGCAGGCAAAGGCTGAAACCGTGGCCATGCCGGCAGGGGAGAGACAAGCCCAGGATTCACTTCCCAGTAAGGGCTGTGCTCCCAGTAGCACAGTGAAGGCCACGGGGGTTTAGAATGTGTCAGGTGTCTTGTCTCCAGTTGCACCTGCCTTGAATATTTGGGGTGTGTTTTTTCCCTTATACATTTGCCTCCTTAGTTAGCTTCTCATCCTAATGCACGCATGCACCCCTCACCCCTCCATTCTTTATCCTCTATCACTGTCTCATAGGTGGACCGTTCACACGCACGTCTTTCACCATCACTATTTCTTTGTGGGGGGGGGAAGCTGCACCTGTTGACCATCCACCTACTGAAAGACATTTAAAGCAGGAAAAGGACAGAACAGGGAAATTGGCTAAAATCTGATCTGTTCAGGTGGGCTTTGGGCAACTGCTTGCCAAGGGAGGGGCATTTTGACAACCTTGCCTTTTAATTCATTCCCATAAGCTTTTGTTTTAAGATGATAGACAGGGGGAATATCTTTTAATCTTTTTGTGAGCAGCTGTGAGTCCCAGGCATGGGAGAAAGGCAGACTATAAATGAAATAAAACTTTAAAATCCTATAAATTTAAATCCTATAAAAATCCTATAAATAATAATCCTATAAATTCTACTATTTTGTTATCCACTGAAAATTATAAAATAGTAAAAGGTATATATTTGTGTGGGAGATTGAAAAATGTTTGTTTGTTTGTTTGTTTATTATTTATTTATTTGTGTGTGTGTATGTATGTATGTATGTATTGATTGATTGATTGATTGGATTTCTATCCCTCCCATCTAGGTGGGATAGAAATCCAAAGGTCTACTCTGGGTGGTTTACAAATTTAAAAAGAATAAATGTTGTGAGTGCTCTCTCTCTCTCTCTCTCTCTCTCTCTGTGTGTGTGTTTTAAATAGTATCTGAAAAGAACACATGTAAGCTGCCTGGCTCACAGCCAGAAATGTGGTGAAAGGACCAAGAGAGGGCAGAGAATAACTGCCGGACAGCTATGATCATAAATGCAGATATATCTAACACGTTTAATGCTCCCATTAAAACACATTTTCAATGTCGACATTAAAGCGCGTGTGTGTGTTTTTTTTTTTAAAGAATCAAGTGCCAATAGCCTGGTTGCTGCTTGAGTTTTAATTTCTTTAAGAGACTCCCTGTCTTATGCTGCTCCCCTGACTGCTCTTCATCAAAATCCACATCAGTTTATCTTACTGTCTTGCCACACACTGATTAAAAGAAAACTGGCACTGTAGCTGGAAACCCATTTCCATCGTGAAAATGCGGCCCTGTTCTACCTCTATCACTGTCTGGAGAGCTCCGTCGTTTAGGTATCTGACTGAGGAGCCAGAAGTTGGGAGTTCAGTTCCCCCACTGACCCTCCTGGAAGAAAGAGCCAGCCGGGTATTTTTACCCAAATTTTCCAAGTCCTAGAAAAGTCCTACATTACTCTGGCGGTGATCTCAACCTTTCCAGTGTATTTTATATTCTATACAACATCATCTTCCACATAATCAATTTTGCTGAATTTTTCAGGGGTGTCTGTCCCTTCAGAAATACTTAGGGTATAGTTGCTCCCAAACCTCACCACTGGTTATGCCGGCCAAGGCTGCAGTCCAGTGGCATTGAGAGGGCTGCATAGTTTCCAACCTTGCTTCAGGTAAAACAAAGAAAATGTTGGCACAGTTGGATTTGTTATTTTCAGGGCTTTCGGTGCGATTGCAACTAGCCAAAGTGGCTTAGGCCAGCTGAGTTGACACTAAAGTAGCAGAAACTGTGTGTATTCCAAACTCTTTCCGGGTCTAAGGAAAGATGTCGGAAGTTGCTTAGGCCTTATTCAGATTAACCTTGCAATGGTATACTGTAGCGGCTGTGACTGTGGATTGTGAAGGGTTCGGATCTGACTTAACTCTGTCCCTCCCCTTTCTCTTCTCTTTTTTCAGTCTTCTGGCAGCTCTTCTCAGCCACCTGGCAGATTCTTCTGCTGGCAGATCTCTGAAATCAGCCACTAGGGCCGTTCCACTAGCACAAGGAGATTCTGCCCTTTCCAAGCCCACTACAGCCAACTTGTCCTTTGCTCTGGATCGCACTGTTAGAAAGTTTCTTCTCAAAAGTTACTCACTCACAATAATCCATTAAGTGTTACAAAAGCAACTGGGTGTTCTCACTTTTTGCAATGTTTAAAAAAAAAGGATCAGGCGTCATTACACATGATAGGGTTTCTTTAAACACTAACCTGTTACATGACCCACTGTGTTCTTTTCTTTTACTTGTCATTGCTTTAGGGAGAAATCCCACCCACACACCAACCGGGGAAGGATAAGGGACTAGTATAAACCTGAATTCCTGTAAAACTACCTTTAAAATGCCTAAAATACCCTATAGAAATTTGAAGTTGATCCTCTTGTTGACACTGTGATTCTAGGCCCCAGCATGCCAGTTTTGACTTGGCTGCTGATGTTCATCCTGGTTGCTGCTGCTTCCATTTTACATTTGTGTAAAGAAAGCAATGTCTACTTTAGCACTGCCCTGAGAGGCTACCCTCATAATAATTCTCAACCTTCTAGCAATAGCTCTCTGCTATCATTCTTTATCATTCTGCTGGACATTTTACCATTTTTTTTAAATCACTTCTTATTGCACGTGGAAAGTTACTTTTACTAGTTGCGGCTAGTTGCCCATTTGAACCAATGCAACTTATGGAGGGGTTGACCCACAAATCCCCATTGATTCAATCAGTCTGGTCTAGTGTGACTCACTACACTACACAACGGGATTTCAGCCGTTGTGTTACTTGCTGTATGGCTTCTTTACCTTCCATTACCTTTGTGTGGGGTGAACATCCTTAAGACTGGGAAGAGAACACCATCACACTTGAAAAACCTGAATGCTTCCAAAATTAACCTCTGCCTTTGAATGCCTCTAAAATTAAATGCCTTTGAAGGAACGTTTGTGAGTAACTAGAAATGGTTACTTATTATACAAAAAAACACACCTCTGGTCCTACTCATTACATTACTTTTGGAATGTGATTTTGTCATCTTATAGCTCATTACTTCTAAACTACAAGCATAGCCAGTTGCCCCTTTCCTTGTGTTGCTAGTCTGTAACTGGTTGTTCTCTGTTTCGTCCGACAGATTATCAGAGCGAATACTATGGACCTGGGAGCAACTATGACTTCTTCCCACAGGGACCTCCTTCCTCCCAAGCTCAGACACCTGTCGATCTCCCCTTCGTGCCCTCCTCGGGGCCACCAGGAACACCTCTTGGCGGCATGGAGCATCCTCTACCTGGACATCACCCTTCCAGCGAAGCCCAGCGTTTCACAGATATACTCTCTCATCCACCAGGAGATTCGCCTAGCCCAGAACCCAACCTCCCCGGCTCCTTGCACTCCATGTCGGCAGAAGTATTTGGCCCGAGCCCTCCATTTTCTTCGATATCAGTCAACGGCGGTGCTAATTATGGCAACCACTTGTCACATCCGCCAGAAATGAATGAGGCCGCTGTATGGTAGCTTTAAACGTCAGACCTGGACCTAAGCTGGCAGATCGCCATCCATCCTGCTTATTACTGAGGTGTACAGAAATGAGTTCAAACAAACACAACATTTTTTTTCCTGCCCCAAGACAATATATATTGTTGTGTTTTGGGGAGGGGGTTGCATCCCGCCTCCCCCCAGTTTTTCTTTTTGTTAAGCTTGGGAATTAACTGAACCATTAATTTCAGATCAAAGCCCAGGGAAATTTTGCTATAGACTGGGGGACAATCTTCTTAATATAGAATCAACAGGACACACACACAAACACACACACACACATGCAAAGGAAAAGAAAACTTTTTTTGTATTGAGTGAAAAAGACATTGATGAAATGGATGTGTTTTGATACTGCCATATATTTATGGAATGGCATATACTGGGTACCTGTGTTCACTAGATGATAACTCTAGGAATCAAGATACTTTTCTCAGATAGGAAAAGAAATTAACATTGTTTTTTTTTTAAAAAAAAGGCAAGGTCAACAACAACAATAAAAAAGCTTCAAGGAATTTTTTAAAAATATGATTTTACTGATTTTTAAAATGTTGCCTTCGAAAAAAATTGAACACGAGCCACAACAACAGACTTTTTTAAGCCTCAGAAGTGTCAGGCAAGGCAAATGAAATGTAGTTTATTTTGCTGTTATTTGGGGGTTGGTTTTGTTGTGTGTGTGTGTGGTTTATTTTTTTTTTTTGTTTTTTTTTTGGCCAAAATAGCGAATATTTAAATATAAGCCCTCAGCATCAACTCTTCTACCTTCTCGGAGCAACACACACCAATAATTCCTCAAAACCCAGAAGTCTTCTGCTAGACTTCTAAGTTAAAAAAAATGACTTGAAAGAAATGAACAACGTAGTATTCTACCTTCAGAAAAGATAAACGCTGGAAAAAATATAGAAAGACTTTATGGAACTAGGAAAAAAACAGTCAACTGTTTACGTCGAATGTTAAATTCAGGAGCGCAAGGTTTTACTATATAAAAAAATAAAAAAAATCCTGTTTTAGAACCTCTTGTTCAAAAGCAAAGTGTTTTGAGCAATCAACCAAAATAGTTCATTTTTTTATTTTCTTCTTCTTCTTTTCTGTAGATGTTATAAGACATTACAGGGCTTGTGTTTCACTGTGCTAGTTTGTAAAGGTGGTGTTTACAGCAGGCAAAGAATAAAAACCTATAAAATCAGATAGTTGCCAAATAAAACGATTCTATAGCACAAAATACTCTTTGGGGTGTGTGGCACCCACAGCCCAGGAAAAAAAAGTTTTAAATAAAGTGTTACAAGGGTTAAGGGGGGAAATTAACATCTTTGCTAATGTTTAGTCCTGTTCAACATTAATGGAATTGTTAATATGACTTATATAGACCCACACAGGTTTTATTTTTGTGTCTTTAAAAGAAAAACAAAGTCCAAAATATTTAAATTTTATGGTCAAATATGCAGTCAGCAGCTGCTACTTTTTTTTCTTTATATATTAAATTTCTCATATGTCTTTTATTGTTCAAATAAACCTAAGCTTGTGTGACCTCCAGTGCATATTAGACCATTCACTGTATGAAAGGGGAGAGGGGGGGGAGTTGGATTTAAAAATTTGTGAATTTTTAATAAAATTAGAAAACCTGATGTTTAGATAAATGTGTTTCATTCGGTGCTTTAAATGGTTTACGGCATACTATTGCACAGTGTGGGGTGTAAATCAGAAGAGGACAAGAAATTTAATTACAATTTTCCCAGTAATATTGCTCAAAGTAAAACTTAGTATGTGAATTTTTTCCTTGATGGGTTTTTTTTCCTCATAATTCCCCCCATCCTTTCAGAATTTTGGCAGAAGCAAAAAGCTGTTTGAAGATGTTCAACATGACTAACCCACCCACCACCAAATTCAGTGTTAATATGGAGGTTTCTCCTCGGGTGACATAAAGGGAAGCTCTAAGGTTAGCAACATGGTGTAGAATGGGATGGGCCGAGGCCATTAGTTGGGTTGTGGCTAGATTTCATATCAAATAAAAAAATTTAAGTGTGCCTGGAGTCTCCTCTTCCACCGGACTATGAGCCAGAGGGAGGTGTCTACCTCAGGCAACAGACTCTGGATGTTACGAGGGCTTCATTATTTCTGTCGTTATCGTATTTTTTTAGCTCCCAAGAGGCAGAGAGCAATTGATGTGGGATTTTCTGCCCAAACGACCATGAGCCAGAGCGAGGTGTCTACCTCAGGCAACAGACCCTGGATGTTATGAGGGCTTCATTATTTCTGTCGTTAACGTATTTTTTTTAGCTCCCAAGAGGCAGGGAGCAATTGATGTGGGATTTTCTGCCCAAAATAACTTGGCAGAGTTGAAAGTGCCACTTGTCTACCTTGATTTGGATACGGGGAAGGTTTGCACCCATGGGTTCTCCGCCTCAGGCAGCAAAATGTATCACGGGCCGGCCGTACTTCTTAAGGATTTGAGGCACTACCTTGAGGGGAAGCCGGATGATGTCAGCAACCTCTTGAAGAATGTCTGATTGTGTCTCCACAAGTCCCTTGAATGTGCTCCAAACAAACTTTTCTATACTACAGTGTTACTCGGTGTTGACTAGAGAGCAATCTGATGCCCAGAGAGATGAAGCAGTTGGCAAAGCTATGTATGGTTCAAGGACCAAGCCCTGCGCGGCCTGCTCTGTGCCCCCTCACCTATTCTGAGATACTTTAGTCTGGGAAGCTGGTAGGCTTCTGCACATGGTACTACAGTGTTACTCGGTGTTGGCTAGAGAGCAATCTGATGCTCAGAGAGACCGAAGCAGTTGGCAAAGCTATGGTTCAAGGACCAAGCCCTGCGTGGCTGCTCTGTGCCCCCCTCACCTACTCTGAGATACTTTGGTCTGGGAAGCTGGTAGGCTTCTGCACATGGAATTGGATGGAGGCAGGTTGGCTTTATTGCAGGCAACGAAATGCCTTGGGCCAGATCCAGTTACGCACCTATTAGAAGGATGCTGATCCGACCCCAAAACATCATGAAACTTTTGCTGTCATGGTTTCATCTTCCACCAGACTGACTTGACTCCTTCAGGTTTACAGTGGATTGACAATAACGTCAGGCAGACGTAGCCCCCTGCTTATTTCTTAGCATAGCATGATCTTTCACATGAGGGTATAGGTTTCCAAAGAGTCCTTTCTTTCCCTCATGTCACACGTTATAGTCTCAATATGCAAGAGTGCAAAATTAGCTTTGCCTCCATCAGCATTACGGGTTCCGTCCTACAGGTTTCTTAGCATATCTTAGCATGATCTTTCACATGAGGATATAGGTTTCCAAAGAGTCCTTTCTTTCCCTCATGTCACAAGTTATAGTCTCAATATGCAAGAGTGCAAAATTAGCTTTGCCTCCATCAGCATTACGGGTTCCGTCCTACAGATGACATCTGTCTGGGACTGTCTTTATCCTTTGATAACGGGTGGGATATAAATATTTTTAATAAATAAATCTGAGTAAATGCATCATGGGGCATCGTGAAAGGCCAGCAAACCCTTAAGCTGTTTTTCATTGGTATTATGATCTTTTTACCGCCAGGAAGGAAAAAGAGGTAGGAGATTGCTAGAAGAGGTCATTCTGTGCTATTTCTGGCTCTGTGCAGAATAACGTGGCTCTGGTTTTGAATAGTGTGTGCCTCTTGCCTTGAATGACAGGGGAATGAGTGTTGTTTGCTGTTCTGCCTCAGGCAGCAAAAAGTCATGGGCAAGCCTTTGAATCGTCTTCTTATCCGTAGATTTTTTTTTCTGCCTTGCATATTCGGTATTGTGTGTCTGCCTTTTTACTCTGAGACACTCCTTTGGGTTCGAATGCTGTGCACAACACAAGTTTCCTAGCTGAGCATTGTGCTGTTCTACAACTCAGAGCCACACAACCTCTGTATCACACCTCAAACCCCGATGCTATATTTTTATAATTTTTTCCATGGTGCTAGGTTTCAAAGCTTGCTCCAAATCTTGTTGCTTCCTGGCAAAAAGAATCTGCTGGGATGATAGGACATCGTGGCAAACCCGATAGCATCTGAGTGAGTCCCACTGTGTTCATTGGCGCTTTACTGCCATGTCAAGGGACATTTGTTTGCAAACCAAGTCTTGAAAGTGACAAAAGGTCCTCTGCTTTGGAGGTGAGGTTGCTGACATAAACAGAGCTATTCTTTTGAAATATGCACCTCAAAGTATGCTTTCCCATTATATTTACTGCTTTCCTATAATGGGAAGAAAAGCATTACTCTTGCACTATGGGAAGTTAGAAATGCAATTTTTACAGGAGATCAATATATCGGCATTGCTTTCCAGCAAGGGTGAATGCTTCCGTAAGTACCCATATCTGCTACGGAATTCTCTGTGTGTTCTGCATATGTTTGTTACTCTCTTTTCCCACCTGGCGGACTGCAATTCTCTTTACCTTGATGAGGAAGCAAACTGCACTGAACTCAGAGAGAACGCTTGGGTAAACATGGACCATACGTGCTGTTCTGTTCAAACAGTTATTTCAGGAACTACAGAGCCACTAGTTACATATCTCTCCCCTGTTTCTGAGACCCAGTAGTTATTGCTAACATTTTGCCATTTTTCAGGGTCTAAAAGACTGCTTTTTGGAAAAGAAGAAAAAAGCCAATTTTCTAGGTGCTTCATTTCCACTGCTTTGTTCTGAGCCCGCAAGATACACACAGACCAGACAATACCGCCCTTTCTATCTAACGGTGGTAACAATGCATATTTTTAGGCATATATGATCAGAAGTAGGCACCATTACATCCAACAGAGCAGTGGTTCCCAACTGTCAGTCCTCAGATGTTCTTGGACTACAACTCCTTCAGTCCTCAGACTACAACTCCCATAAATCCTGGCCAGCACAGCTAGTAGTGAAGGCTTCTGGGAGTTGTAGTCCAAGAGCTTCTGGGGCTCCTCAGTTGGGTACCACTGCAGTTGAACATACTCCCAGGAAAGTAAGTATAGGCCCAAATCCTGCTGCTTAGCATAGTAAATCACACTAAAGTAGGCCCATTAACTCAATGGGGATTTAGCGAGTCCTCTCCTCCATAAGTTCTGTAGATTCAAAAAGGTCTACTCTACCTGCAGTTTACTATGCTAAAGTAAGTTGCAGTTAAAGCAAGTCCATTTGAATCCATTATCTTACAGAGGAATTGACTCATTAAATCCCCATTGATTCTATGGGGCTGCCCTAGTGCGATTCACTATAAGCAACAGGATTTGGGCCATAGTGTTACGATTGGTGGTGAACCAGCCCTTCTGTATTTAGAGGCTCTCCTGGCTATTTGGAGATGACAGCCATGCACACAACCTTCAACTCACTTAAGGAAAGATTGCTCATAAATACGACGAGTAAATGTCAGAGAATATAGAAAAAAACCCTGGATAAAACATTTCCCCTTTTGGAATGAGTGAAATGCTTAAGATAAGGTTTTAGTCACTCAAAATGCCAACACCTTTCTAATATGACAGTCTATGGAATCAAGGAATGATAATTTCTGTGCATATGATAGACTTTTTCAACACTTATATTCAAGTGGCATTTTTGAACCTAGTGGATGCTGAAATCGTCCTTGGTCATTGGCTTCCTTAGTCACTTTTGTGTTAGTCTGATAAAGACAGTTACAGGAGAAGCAAGATAGTTTCTATCCTGATAATATATTTTATTTCGCTTATTTAAAAACATGTCATTTCTGCCTTCATTTTACCCCTTCTGTGACTGCAAAAACTAAGATACAGGTTACAGGAGTTATTCCCAAATTCATTTACACACTACTTCTCATATTTTTAAATTTCACAGCCAACCCAAACAGTGCAATTTTATCTGCTAACATAAGCTATGAAGAAGCCATCTTATATTGTTAAAACAGTAAGAAGAGTTCAGGCTAAGTGTTGCATATATTCTCATTTTCTTTTGCATTTGTTTTGTTTTTCTCTCCAGAAAAATAAAATCTGGACTTTTTTCCTCCATAGCTTTGTATTTTCTAGAAATGTCACCTTTCTGCTAGTGGTGCAGTTGATTGATTTTAATTCCAGACTTAATAGTCTTCTGGGGTTCCCTGTTTAGTCTGTAATATATATTACCATGTTTCCCCTAAAATAAGACAGGGTCTTATATTAATGTTTGCTCCAAAAAACGCATTACGGCTTATTTTCAGGGGATGTTTTATTTTTTCATGTACAACAATTTACGTTTATTCAAATACAGTCATGTCATCTTCTTCTGGTTGCTGCACCATGGTGGAGGGCAGGGTTTCACTTAACTGGGGCTTATTTTTGGGGTAGGGCTTATATTATGAGCATCCTGAAAAATCATTTTGTTGTTTAGTCGTTGAGTCATGTCCGACTCTTTGTGACTCCACTGGCCTTGTTGTTAGCCATGCTTTCTAAGGTCCACTTGACTTCACTCTCCAGGATACCTGGCTCAAGGTCAGCAACCACACTATCTGGATTGTCTGGGACATCCAGATCTTTCTGGTATAATTCCTCTGTGTATTCTTGCCACCTCTTCTTGATATCTTCTGCTTCTGTTAGGTCCCTAACATTTTTATCCTTTATCATGGCCATCTTTGCACAAAATGTTCCTTGTTTCCCCTCTCTTCTCTGCTATTTGTAAGGCCTCGTTGGACAGCCACTTTGCTTTCTTGCATTTCCTTTTCTTTGGGATGGTTTTTGTTGCTGCCTCCTGTACAATGTTACGAGCCTCCATCCATAGTTCTTCAGGCACTCTGTCCACCAAATCGAGTTCCTTAAATCTGTTCTTCACTTCCACTGTGTATTCATAAGGGATTTGGTTTAGATTATACCTGACTAGTCCAGTAGTTTTTACTACTTTCTAAAAGATCTTAGCCCAGTGAAATATATATCTAGTTTTGGAACCAGAGGTTGGGAGTTCGATTCCCCACTGTGCCTCCCGGGAGAAAAGCCAACCTGGGTAGCCTTGGGCAAGTGGCACAGTCTCAGGACACCCATAGAAGAAGGAATTGGTCAAGCACTTCTAAGTATTTCTTCTACCTGGAAAACCCTGGAAAGAGTCATGATGAGTCAGAATGGACTTGGTGGCACACGATTATATTATTTTGCATTTGCTTCATGAGGAGTTCTGGAATACTTAGTTTATTTGTACCTTTTTAGTGATCCAACAAAATGTATTGCCCCGCATTTTAATCCATTGCTATCAATGGATCTCATGGCCATTCTCCTCCTCCTCCTCCTCCTCAATTCTTGCAATCATATGGCTTGTTTCTTATCCGCCTTGCTGGTGCACAGGGCCAGACCAAAGAAAGGGTCAGGCCTAAAAATTGGGAATTAGCATAAACTTTTGTTTCAGCTGATTAGACTTGTTTTATTTATGTATTTGTTACAGTTGTGCTTGCTGTTTTACTTAAGCTGGTTTCATGGATTGTTAACCACCCGGAAGAGAAAATTAAACAAACTAACCAATCTGAGAAGTGACTTTTTCCCCCCTTTTCCAGGCATATTTTTTTTTGTAAAAAAGTAACTTTTCCAAAAAGCTGAAAGACAGAGATGGGGGGGAAAAGGAAGAGAGCTATTTCTCTAATATCCAAGAGAGCCTTGTGCAACCTTTAAGCATTATCTTTGAACACTGTAAGCCGCCTTGGTTCTTTCTGAAGAAGAAAGGAAGGGGTAAAAAATATTTTAAATAAAATAATAAAAATAAATAAGACGGGTAAGCATGAGCTGGCATGAGCTTTTGAGGAGCGCAATTTGGGGTGTTGCTGTTTTTCTTCTTCCCCATAAGCATAGCTTTAACAAAAAGAGTAGAGGATTTAAAAAAAAAAAGTAACTTTTCCAAGCCAACGGCAACCTTTGCCCTCACACCAGCCTCCTCAGGGCTGTTCGTCTCCTCCCTCAGCGGAAGCCACGCCCCTTTAGGCGGGCCGTTAGCTCCTCCCCCTCCCCCTCCTTCTCCTTCTGGGCGGGCGAGGGAAGGAGACAAAATGGCGGCGCCCTTAGCTGAGGAACTGGAGCGCCTCCTCAACCCCCTGCCCCGCGTCCAGCAAGACCCGGAGGACGACCCGGAGGACGGTGAGGCCACCCCAAAATACAATTAATTAAAAAATGTAAAGGGAGAGGAATAAATTAACCCCCCCCTTTCAGGGCTGCTCGTGGGGACGGGGCCCCACGTGGGTTTCTCGCCCTGGAGGCGCGCGTTCTCTCTTGCTCTCGCTCTCTGGACACGTGTCGGGCGGGGGGTGCCGACGTATGGAAAAGAGAGAGTGAGGAGAACATTTGAGGAACAGAGTTGGAGGGGGGGCTGACACGGGTATTGTTTTTACGACTAAGCACGTGGGTATGTCTACACACGGGAGGGCTGGTGGGAGAGTGGGTAGACACGTGTCTAGGAGGAAAATGTCCCAGAAAGCCAGTTAATGAGGGGAACGAGGGGACTTTCGCACGCAAGCCCATCTGGGGGGCATCCCAGAGGTGTGAAAACCAACCTGGGCTAATTACCCCCTCCCCCCAACTTTTAATTCTCATTTTCCTGTTTATTGTTACGTGGAGCTCTACATTCTCCTCATAACCGGTTCCCTCATCCTTAGCTTGTAGTTTATCTTAGAAGTACTGAATGCAACTTAAGTCTCAGATACCCTTCTCAAAATTGCCATTAAGAGGTTATTATGTGCTGCCAAGTGGCTGCTGATTTAGAGCAACTCACAAACTTTTTAGATTCCTCCAGTAGAATTACTCTGTTTCCTCATCCTTAGCTTGTAGTTTATCTTAGAAATACTGAATTCCACGTAAGTCTCAGATACCCTTCTCAAAATTGCCATTAAGAGGTTATTATGTGCTGCCAAGTGGCTGCTGATTTAGGGCACCTCACATACTTTTAATCATTCAATGTACTCTAATCAGTTTTATGGATTAATTCTTTTTCTGATGTATAACTTGTGCTTTTAATTCCATTACTTTTAATACTGCGAGCCACCCTGAGTCCCTTTAAGGGGTGAAATAAAACAAACGAACAAATTAATTAACAGGCCTGCTTTGGTGTTGCAGACTAAATAAATAACCTTTGCTTCCTTTATTGAGTTTATTCTTCTCATGATCAGTTTTCCTCTTTTCCTACTGGTTTCTTTCCTCCTCCCCTCCAGTGTTTTTTCCCCTCAGAAGTTGTCTTGCCTTCTCCTGATGTGCCCAAACAATGGTAGCCTCAGCTTCATGCTTTTATGAATGCAAAACCCAACAGAAGTTAGAGATGTGCAAGATGGGTGGGAATGTTGGACTACAACTCCCAGAATTCTTCAGGTAGTAAAGCTGCCACAGAAATTAATGGAGTTGTAATAAAAAAATTAGTAATCTGCAAGTCTTATTGAAACGTAACAGTGTAGCATTGCATTTCCATGAAGATTAATGCTAACATTACGTACTTAGGCAACAGGGTTTAAATCCGAGTTAGAAGTTATCCTTGTTTACCTGCTTTCACTGTAGTTGCAGTTTAGGGGAGTGGTTGTTTAGAAATGATTTGAAACAAAGATTGAGGTGTGAATAAAACCGAAAAATGAAATAGTTCTTGTGCTCCTAGTTGCTCAATTCTGCTAGTCCTGGTTGCAATTGGACCATGCTTTCTGTCTTTCCAACTATCAAATGAAAATATTGGTACTCAAGAAAGTAGGTCATTAATGAATAGGTGCACTGGTTCTGAACTCTTCAAGGGCAGCCCCACAAAGACTGCATTACAGCCTTTGTGGGGCTTTAATTACCTGGAGGTAATTAAGGCATAGGTCCCTATGACAAAAATCATCCTTCTTTAGAAGGAGAGCAGCTGGCATACAAGCCAAAGTTAGTAAGGGAAGGCTTGGGTAAGAGGAGGCCCGAAGGCATAGTTAAGGTGGCCTATGAATCCCTTTGCATAAAATTGAATGTAGGGAGTTTAAAAAAAAGAGGGTTTGTTGGAAGAATAGGAACTAACATGAGACAGGATGTGTTTGGCAAAGGATGGAAATTTTGGGGGTCTTGGAAAGAGGGAGAGCAATTTCCCCCAATAACTGATCCTCTCCTTTCCCCTGTACAGCCACTGCAGCCAAAGTTATTGAGAAGTTTGACGAAGGAGTCCTTGAAGATAGCATCCTTTCTGTGGGACGTATACGGAAAGGCGCCTCTGTGAATCTCCTGGAGGTTGATAAGCGATACCATGGGAAGGCAACATCTCGCAAAGCTTTGGAAGAAGAAATGTGGGGAGAGGCTCAGCCATCAGGTAGGCTCCTGCTCAGTCCCTGTCTCCTGTGCCGTTTCCTTGATTTTGTCGAGCTGACTCGGGTACCACCATACTTCATCTTGTCTGAATAGTGCTTTAATGAAAAAACTCTCAGGTAAAATAATTCCAGCTGAAACCCTGGAAACTCATTGCCTGTCAGCATGTGTGTGACACTGAATCTTTTCCCTTCTTGGCTCATAAAAGCAACTTGGACTTGGCAAGGTGACTGAGGGAATGTGTAAATGCCTCACTCCAGCAAGGCACGGTTTCAGCCTGTGTAAAAGCGGTGGTGGTAAGAACCGTACTCAAGAAATCTTCCCTTGACCCAAGTGAATATGCTAATTGATAGCAAGTCTCTGATATCCCATTTTTGGGGCAAAGTACTGGCGTGTGTAGCAGCTTCTCAGCTTCAGTAGATCCTGCATGAGGTGGATTTTCTAGATCCATTTCAGTCTGGCATCAGGTTCGGTTATGGCAAATAAATGGGACAAGATATACATGTGCCCTTGGTAGTTCTGTGGACCTTTTAGTGGTTTTCAATACCATTGACTGTGGTATCCGTCTGGGTCACCTCTCTGAAATGTTGTTGAAGGCATAGTTCCGCAGTGGCTTCGGTTCTTCCTGGGAGGGTGATCTCAGAATGCAGTGTTGACGGACTTGTCTTTACCCTGGCCTTTGGCCTAGTGCTATTTAACACATATATGAAACCATTGGAAGAAGTCATCTGGAGTTTTGGGGTTCAGCGCCACCCTTAGGCTAATGACACCCAGCTCTCTCGTTCCTTTCTGTTTCAGTCAAAGGAGATTGTTTGGTTCTAAAGCAGTGTCTGGTATTAGTGATGGACTAGATGAAGGGGATCAAATAGAAGTTTAATGCAGAGAAGGCAGAGATGTTTCTAGTCAGTCAAAGGGAAGATTGTTGGCCGTGTTAACTGGGGGTTGTGGGACCTGTAGTTTAAAGGAGTATCATTGCCTATTCTTGTATGATGTGATTGCAGTACGCTGGAAAGACATTTCTCCTGTTCGTCTATGGCAAAAAGCATGTGCCATGCTGACAGTCATTTCTATGAGCAACAGAGCTGGGGGCTGTGTTGAACGTATAGATTTTGTTCTATTTGGTTCTTGAGTCATGTGGTCTATGCATTGATAATGACAATACAGTGGTGCCCCACATAGCGACAATAATCTGTGCAGCAAAAATCGCTGCAAAGCGATTTCGTCGCTATGCGGTTTTAAAAAGCCCGTAGGAATGCATTGAAACCCCTTCAATGCGTTCCTATGGGCTTAAAACTCAACTTTAAGCGAAACCCCTCCATACAGTGGCCATTTTCGCTGCCCGGTAAGTGAGGAATCTGGGCGAAAACACAGCGGGCGGCCATTTTTTTTACCCAGCGGCCATTTTGGAACTGCCGATCAGCTGTTGGAAAATCATTGCTATGTGATGATCGGTATGCGAAACAGGGTACCGATCATCGCAAAGTGATTTTTTCCTATTTAAAACATTGCCATGAGATTGCAAAAGCGATCGCAAAAAGTTCGTCGCTATGCGGAATCGTTGTTAAACGGGGCACCCGTTAAGCGAGGCACCATTGTATTGAATTCTTTAACCTGAAAAACCTATGTAGATCTGCCTTCCCTGGAATATTTCTAACCAAGCCATTCCTTCCAGCAAATGTGAATGTTTGTATTCCCCCCCCCCCCCAGCTTCGAAAGACCANCCAGGCGCTGCATCTTTCTGGAAAATATTCAGAAGTAAAGAAACATCAAATCTGAGTGACAGTTTCTGAGTTTATATTAAAAAAATAGGGGGGTTCTGGGTGCCATTTTATCACAAAGCCTTCACATAGAAATATAAAAAGCCTGCTCAATATTTAAATAAAAACCAGCAGCATCAGGGGATGGGTTCCAAGGCTGCAAAAACAGGTTTGGGGCCTGCATTTTGGCCCATAGGCCATACTTTGTCTCCACTGTTTTACTGCATTGTTTTCCGTACGTGTGCGCCAAAGCTACTCTTCTTGTCTCAAAATGTTGACGTAATTTTTTCCTGTCTCAAGAGGTCCTGTTATCAGGTCCCCATTGCATCTGTGCAACTAAAATTGGCAGCCCATTTTTTTATACAGATAGCTCTATGAAGAACTGTGTCCTGCTTTTATACATCTCTTCACCTTCCTCTTGCTCCCAGCTCCCCGTCTTTATAGAGATGTGTGCAAGGGAGCTTGATCACCTTGTAATGCTCACCCATTATCTCATTATTTAATGGGAAAGGCTGTCAGCTAATCAATGAGTCTGATAATCAGTTCAGCCTTTGCCACAGTGGCAAAGTGTGAGTTTGAGGTTTCAATCTGGAAAGGACTCCCCAATCTCTAATTTTTGAAGCTGCTATTTTGTACACTGTTGTATGTGAGATGTTATGAGAAATAATTTCATAAGGAGCAGAGGTCTAGCTGTTCATAATTGTGTTTTAAGCATCAACCACTTCCAGCCAAGAACTAACAGATGATAACAACCTGAATGGCTAACTAGCTGTATCCATGCGCTAGTGATGGGCGAGAAGGTTCCATGGCTTTTGGGAGAGAGGCTGAACCAACAGAGAAGAGTGGGCAGAAGGTAGATCAGGATTCAGGACAAAGATGAGCAAAGCATAGCTATCCAGATGTTGAACTGAGTCTCTCAGTGCAGCTGCCTAGGACGGATCAGGAGCTGAAGTCCAGTAGCTTCTGGTTGCATTTTGCTGAACGCTCAGTGTTCACCCTGGCAACAAAAGAATTGTCTGCCTCCTAAATTTAATACTGCTTTGCTGACACTCCAATGTAGGCTTCACTGGAAGAATCTACATCTTGCCTTGTTGATTGCTTCTGTTTGGTGTGCCAGGGAGCCAGAACCCACCATGCCCTTCTTCTTCCTCAGTGGGCAGCCAGCCTTCTGTGCCCACTGAGCTCCTTGGTACTTAATTGGCTGTTGTAGAAAGTATGCCCCCCCTTTTTTTTCCTGAGGATCATCTACCTGTTGCCAAACCCTAGGTTTTCCTCAAGCGTGCTTATACCTTTTTCTTGCTTCAGGATGGTTCTAATTGAATTTGCTATTAGTACATGATTCGTGTGTGGACACTCAGATTCTAAAAAGTAGCATTGAGGGGTTTTAATTTTTTAAAAGTTCGTTTCTTTGCGGGTTTTTTTTGTTTTGTTTTTTGTTTGGTTTGGGGCATTGAGGGGTTTTAATTTTTTTAAAGGGTTTTTTTGTTTTGTTTTTTGTTTGGTTTGGTTTGGTTGTTTGTTCATTCATTCATTCCACCCATCTGGCCAAGGGCCACTCTGGGCTGTTCACAACAGAGTATGACAATAGACAATAATTCCTACATTACATCAACATACCTTTCAAATAATATAAAAACCATTCTAACTTCAATATTGTGCAATAAAACATTTTATATATTTAATATTTAAAACATTTAAGTAGGCCCCATAAGCATGAAGTCTGCCTACAGCTAGAATATGAACTTTAGAATAGCTGTGAATAATGCTATAGCAATTGTGCATTTATTTATAATAAATTGTACCTGTCCTTTCTGAAAGCATTATGGGGCAGTTCCCTTACCCTTAAATCAGCTTTGTGAGGTTAGGTAGCCTGTTGGAGCTGCTTCTCTTCAGAGAGGTCTTTAAAGGAAACTTAAGTTGAATTTTTCTTTCCTCTGTGCCCTGACACTTTTAATATGCATGTTTTGCACTGTTTGTGATTTGATGTCACTTAATTTGTTTGTGTCTTTATTCATTGATTTTTATTGTTCTTGTGTGGTTTGTTTTTTTTGTTATGAATGGACCAGAATTGTGCTCCGCACTAATTGGGTGGTATAGAAATGAAATAAATGAATAAAATATTATTGAAATATTTTATTTCATGAAATAAATGAATAAAATTCCAGAGCCTTGACTAAGAACAAATGAAAACTTTGATAAATAAACAGCAATAAGAAAGAGAGAAGTCCCACTGTCACACCAGCTCTCATTTATTTACCTTATTAAGTTCTCTTGTTGGGTTACTGGTGGTTGCCATTACAGATTATCCTGAACCGTGTTAACTGTTGTTTCTTCTTAACTTATAGGTGAAGAAAGTTCAGGTGAGGAGATGACCGATGAAGAAGACCTTGACAGTGAACCTCTAGAGGAGAGCCTGGATGATGAGAATCCAGAAATGGAGGAGGAGGAGGAGGAGGGAGAAGACGAAGAAGAGGAAGATAAGGCAACTGGCCTTGATCGTAGCCCAGAGGGAGCAAGAAAACCATCAGAGAAGCAGAAGACACCAGCGTTCACTTTCCAGGCAGTTGATGATTTTGAGAAATTTGCCGAGCAGATGGATGAAATGGATGAAATAGGGAGCACGGATGAAGATGAAGAGGACGAGGGTGAAAGTTTGTTCACAGAAGAAGGCAGCGAAGGTGAAGCAGACTCGGAAGAAAATACCCAAGAGCCAGGGGACAGAATGATGGATGTGAACGAGAGCAAAGATGATGGGACACTGCTGACCTTTTCCAAAGAAAAAGTGGCTGAAGAAGTGGAAAAAGGAAAAGCTGTGAAAAACCAGATAGGTGAGTATAGGTGGTGTCTTTTCTTTTGAGGTCCTGGTGAAGCTTTTTCTAATTTTTCTGCTTGGAGAATCAGGAGTCCAGTTTTAAAACAAGACTGGTTATTTTAAATGGGAAGGACTGGCGCCTAAGCAGTAGAGCATCTGCTGTACCTATAAAGAGTTTCTTACAGATGGCAAGGATCTGCCCTTGACATCTACAGGTAACAAATGTCCGATATCCAGCAAGAATAATGATTTTGTAAATGAGTTTTGATCAGGTAAAGCCTCTGTGTTTGGTGGTGTGGTGCCATCAACATGTAAGATTCAGAGGCAGACTATAGACACAGAGGCAGACTATAGACACATTATGTGTGTGCTTGTGGTTTTCTTAAATCCTTTAAGTGGGGGGACTTGTCGTCTTCCAAATGTTGGATTGCAGCTCCCTTCAGGCATAGCCAGTGTTGTTGTTGTTGTTTAGTCATTTAGTCTTGTCCGACTTTTCATGACCCCATGTAACAGAGCACGCCAGTGTCGCCAGTGCCTAAGGGATGGCTGGAGCTGCAGTCAAAGAACATCTGGGGGACCACACGTTCCCCATCTCTGGCCACCATCCTTCGACGCTTCTTTGTACCTTAAAATCAGGCTTAGAAGTAAAGCTTTGCCATTCATCTGTTTTGCCTTTTACCAGGAGCAGAGCTTTCTCCTTGCTAGTTCTGCACCTTGGAACTGTCTTTCCAGAGAAATTGGTCCATCCTTTGTGTAAAGAGTTTCACGAGGGTCCCCAAAGACCCTTCTCTTCTGCCAAGCCCTTTAGTGACTTTATTCTGGCTTTAAATTGTATTATTTTGCTTGTGTCTGCTTCTCCTTTTTCTTCTTCTTTTTCTTTGAGCCAAGATTTGGTTTTATTGTGTTGTTCTGTTGTGCAATATATACTGTACACATCAATGTTTGTGTGTATCTACGCATCTCGTATTACACTACGTTGCTCAGAGAGGGATTGATCTGAAAAATGACTTCCACAGTTCAAATAGAAGTTTGATGCATTTCCATTTTACTCAAAACAAATATGCCCTGTGTCTTTCTAGAGCTTTTTGGCAGTCCCCACAAAGTCTCCCCACAAAAATAAATTGTTCCCCCAAATGTTCATTTGGCCTCTTGTATCTTTCAGTAAATATAGTGCTGGACCTCTGCATTTTGTTTTGCTTTAAAACAAAAAAAACCAAAACAAAGAAAAAATATGCAAAACAAACAGGAAACTAGAAGGCATTTTTTTCTCTTCTCAGCTGCAGTTATGTATGTATGTATGTATGTATGTATGTATGTATGTATGTATGTATGTATGTATGTATGTAATTTATTTATTTATTTATTTATTTATTTATTTATTTATTTATTTATTTATTTATTTATTTATTTATTTCCGTGGGCGTAAATATCCAGTAGGATTTGGGCCACTGCTTCTGACAGACCACAGTTGTAGAAGAACGTGTAACTGTACAAAAAAAAAATTCATTGTCTCTTTTTCCAAAGCCCTGTGGGATCAGCTGCTGGAAGGAAGGATTAAACTGCAGAAGGTCCTCCTGACGGCCAACCAGCTTCCTCAGCCAGATACTTTCTTGGAGTTTAAGAAAAGAGGAGGGCAAGAATTTGCTGATGCACTCAAGAACAGTAAGCCCGTCTCTGCCTGCCTCTTATATATCCGGTGTTTGTTTGTTTATTCTGAACTTAAGTTGGCGTTGCCCATGCTGCTGCAGACGTTTTGCCAGGGCCAAAGCAGGCAGTTCCACAGTTGATGATGTGCAGCTGGTGGCACCATCGTTGTATAATCCAGCACACAACATGGACTGTCTTGGCACAACTGCCTGCGAACTTCTGCAGGTATATATAACTTTACACTGCAGCCATTGAGGGATTTGGGTTTGTGATTTAGAGCAGCTATGAGGTTATTGCTTCTGACATATACAGTGGTGCCCCGCTTGACGATTACCTCGTTAGACAAGGAAATCGCTTAACGATGAGTATTTTGCGATTGCTATAGCAATCGCAAAACGATGTTTGTACGGGTTTTTTTCATTTAACGAGGATCGGTTCCCTGCTTTGGGAACCAATTTTCACATAACGATAATCAAAACAGCTGATCGTCGCATTTTCAGAATGGCTGCCCGCTGTGCAAAATGGCTCCCCACTGTCTTTTAGGACGGATTCCTCGCTATACAGGCACCAGAAAATGGCCGTCCTATGGAGGATCTTCGCTGGACGCTGAGGTATTTCGCCCATTGGAACACATTGAACCGGTTTTCAATGCATTTCAATGGGTTTTTTACTTTCGCTTGACGATTTCATTCTACAACGATTTTGCTGGACTGGATTATCCTCGTCAGGCGAGGCACCACTGTACAGGGGTCTGAATTAAAGAGAATTGCTATGTTAAAGAAATGCTGGATTTAGAGGGAAAGAATGTGTGTGTGTGTCATGGAGCTTCATAGAATCGTAAAACTATAGTACAGAGCATGGAGCAAGGTTTCAGTTCCTCAGAACAGTCCTCTGGCAAGGTAGATTTGTATAACACCAGCTTTTTGCCAGCATTGATACTAATAATGGATGTGTGAATCTCTCTCTCTCTTTCTCTCTCTACATATACACTTCGTAGAATTCCTTTTCTCTCCAAAATTGAGTGTTCTGTTTCTATCATGTTGTGATCCGACAGTTCTTAGCTGGACACAAGATATGAATGGCTGAGAGCATTGTTTCATAACACACTTTTCAGAGTTAAACAGCTCCTTAGTTCCTTAGAACCTGTCCCCTTAGAGAAGATTCCACTGCTGTCAAGCCTCTGAATAGCAAGGCAACTGGGTAGCTAGTTCGTCTCCTCTTTCCAGATGTGATGATCATGTTTATAGGACCCCCCCTAAAAAGTGTTTTGGGACAGATTATGATGCTAATTCACCGGTGAAATAACGTGAAATGGGTTTCTCATTTCCAGATCTACATCCAGAGAAGTGCTTTAGGCATCACAGCTGTAGCTTTAAACCAGGCCTCTTTAAAAAAAAAAAAGTTTAAAAGGCGAAGTCCCACCAATCGTAAGCCTGACCTTTTAGTAAAACGTGTGCCATTAACGTATTTAATGAGATGCATTACAAACTGCAGTGAGCGGCATGTTTCATTACAGGCGCGGAAAACCACAATATCACTAAAGACCTTTAGCAGAAACAATGGTTGACATTTTGATATTTCCCGTAAGCAAAACACAACTACGAACATAGAGCTTAACGTACAGATTCTGAAAAGCGGTGTAGTTTTTATATATAACGGAAATTCCTTTAGAAGCAAAGCTAAAGTTAACATTTTTTTTAAAAAAGCCAGGTATTTTGTCATAGCTCTGTCACAGATCTACTTCAGTTTGGCAGCATCAGACGGTGAAATTGAAAAGTCACTTAAAAAAGGAACTCTTCATTGGATTCAATGTGTCATTCTTGGTGCCAAAATTGGGCTGGTTCTAGGCAACTGAGGTGGTTCTTGTCCTACAAGTTTAATCCTAACATTTTCATTGTACTAATTTCTAAGGGTTTTTTTTTCTTGTCCTCTAACAGTTCTCAGTGTGATATTACAATAAAAACATGTAATTGAAATCTGTGTAAATCGAAACAAGAGTAGCACAATAAGACAATCAGTTAAAAGGAGCAATTATTTAACAGAAACAAAGGCTGAAACTGGCACGGTAGTAAGCGGATCTAAAAGCACCACAGGAATAAAGCTACTTTATGTACACATGTCAGTAGAAGTATACAGTAGCAAAAAGGGCTGACATAATAGAAAGGTCTCGGACTGGTGCTGAAAAGTTAATGATTTAGGTGTGATGCAGATCTCTCTGAAGAATGCATTTTATGACTGAAGGCTACGGTTGCAAAGGCCTGACCTTGAGTTAGGTTACCTGCCATACATAACCATGTGAGGATCTTCACAGGCTGGTGACCTGTCATAATTTTAAGGCTTGGGTAGTACAGGAGGAGCTGGTCTTTGCAAAGGGCTTTATAGGGAAAATACTTTGGATTCTTTCCTCTTTATTGATGATTTGTTATGTAAGTATCTACCCCAAGGATTAGCAGCTTTCATGGAGTTGGTCTAGATTTGTGCAGTTTTGCACTCGAAAGCAGCCCCATATGACCAAAGCTGATCAAAGTGGTTCTGATTTTGTTGTTTTTTCCAGGCTCCATGGTTGGGAGCCTGTGATTTTCCCCCATGCAAAAACACGCTGGCCTCTGGGATCAGGAAAATAAGTTGTTTTGCAAAAAAAGGATACCAAGTCCCCATCCTCCCACTCAAGGGGGGGCGGAGATCATGGGGTATGCGTTAGGCTACATTTTGCCCTTTCTGATAATTAGGGTGTCTCATGAAGATTGTGGTAATGCAACTGTCCTTCATGTCGCATCTGCCTCTGATTAGCCAACTTTGAGGTTCTAATAACAGACAACCAACCCTTCAGCCCTTATAGATAAAACACATGAGCTGGGGAAGCTTTTCTGTCAAGCTCTTTAGCTGGAGAATAATTTTCTGCAGGAGAAGGCCGCTCTGTATGCGTGAGAAGCTCTCCGCACGATTCAGCAGGCTGAGTCATATGGAGAACCTCTAAATCTCTCTCTCCATATGAGGAGAGCAATGAAAATGTGACAGGGAGGAGGGGAGAACTGTCTCCCACTTCCTTACCTATCTCGTTCTTAAAGCCTAAATATGACTTTAAAAGCCACACATGTGTGAAGTCAGTCCTCCTGTTTGCTGAGACTACATGAGGGAAGTAGAGCAACAGATGTACCACATGCCTTGCCTGTTTCCTCCCCACGGTGACGCTGTATCTTCTTTCTTGCCCTGGAGTAGTGAAAATGGCAATGCAGTTCTAGGTAGCATCAACAGCAATGTTGTGCCCTGATCAAGGAAGTAATAGTACCATTCTGTTCTGCTTTAATAAGTTCTGGGCAGTACCTTTTAATATTGAGAAGCCGCAGGACATCCAGAGGGGTGCTGCCTGGGGCAGTAAAGGGGATGGAGCCTTACACGGAAGAGTTGAGGGAGGTGGGTCAGTTTAGCTCGGAGAAGACAAGATTGAGAGGTGATGTGGTAGCTTTCTTCAAATGTCCAATTGGCTGTTGCATGGAAATGGAGCAAGCTTGTATCCTGCTGCTTCGAAGAGCAGGTCCTGAACCAATCAATATGAATTGCAAGAAAGGAGAGTCATACTAAACACGGGTAGGAGCTGTTGAGAAGGTAGCGGTCTTCTTCGTTAAATGTTTCCAAACAGAGGTTGGATGGCCATCTGTCAGAGATGCATTAAGCTATTGCTTTCTTGCATGGACCAGGGGTTGAACCCCTTCCAACTCTGTAGTTCAGTGGTTCTGTAAGCCTGAATGGCACATAAGCTTTGCTATGGAAAAAGAACTTCTGTTAGGTAGTATTTAGGTGGGGCTATAAAGGTTTATGGGAAGTAGCGGGGCGGCGGGGGGTGGGGCTGCATCCATTCCCCTGAACGTTGCTTCTTTCATATCTTGGCTGGCCTGCCACAGCATGGTCTGGCTGTTTTCGGCTGCCGGTGGATCTCGGATCCTGGTGGATGATTTACTGCAAAATTGCTTATAAATTGAAGTAGAAAATGTTTTGCCGACGTGGCAGCTTTCAAGCTTCACACCCATTTGTCACCCAGCATTTCCCTTTGTGTATGGAACAAGAATTAATTAGGCTGCACTGCAGGGGGAAAAAGTTTATGGCTATAATTTTATCTAGGATGATGTTTGTTTGTTTTTAAAGGGGCAATGTGGCTCTGTTTGGGTATTTGAGATGTTGAGAATACCAAGAGTGCCCAGGTCACATACTCTCATTTCTCTCTTAAAAGCAAAATGCAGGCTTAAATAGCCATCATAATGCAGTGGTGCATCGCTTAACGAGTACACCGTATAACGACGAATTCGCATAGCGATCCGTTTTTTGGGATCGCTAATGCGAAGGCATGCCGACGGTTCCAATGGGCAAAAATCGCTTGGCAACGATTGGTAAGCATTTCGCTTACCGATCTTTGCATAGCATTTTTTTTAAATCAGCTGATTGGCGGTTCCAAAATGGCCGCCGGAAGACCCAAAATGGCCGCGCGCAACGTTTTCGCACCCTGCCCTCGCTTACCGAGGGCGCGAAAATGGCTGCCACTATGGGGAAACATCGCAGAACGGTGAGTTTTGGGCCCATTTGGAACGCATTAAACGAAGTTTACTTTTCCGTTCCGTATAGCAATGTTTCCCCATAGCGAAGGTTAATCCGGAACGGATTAACCTCGCTATGCGGGGCACCACTGTAAAAGCGCAGAAATCCTGGAGCCCCCTCCCACCTTATAAATAACTTATTTAATGACTGGCTAGCTAAAGTGGATGGGAATTGGTTGTGGGTATGAGCTGGTAGCCAAGTGGTTCTGCTAAGAAAGGAGAGGACAAATGTTGGTTTGTTTACATTATGCCCTGATTTTCCTCCAGTAAACTCAAGGCGGTAAACATAGCTTTCATTTCCCCCATTTTCTCTGTACAGCAATCCCGTGAGGTAGGCCTGTGGGATATTGACTGGCCCAAGATGACCCCATGAGTCTCGTGGCTTAGCAGAGACCAGAACCTGTATACCTCAAGTCCCGGTCCAAC